CCTCACCCCTAGGCTTTGACAGAGCCTGAGTCCTCATTCTTTCTGTGAGAAGCCTCCTAATCTCTTGGCTGCCTTACTTCCCCTGCTTCACTTAAGCCTGAAACAATGACAGAGGGTGGTGCAGCCCTGTGCTAGAAAGGGCGAGTTCCCCGGGTGATCAGGCCTAAGAAAGAATACATAAAATCCTGTGAAATCTGCTTTGCTAAGAATGCTCTCAATTAAATGATAAAGGTCTGAGCAGGAAATGAGTTTGTTTCCCAAAGTTTCATAGCCCTTTAGCTTACAGACCCTCACTCAGAAATAGGCCCTCAGAATTCTTTGTGTGTTATTTATTGTTTGACCCTTACTGCCTGACAATGATTAATGAGCTTTACCTGTATTCCTGTGCAAAATGAACCCAATAAAAGCCCATTGAGGAAAAGGCTTTTGGCCTTTCTCCTTGGAGAGATTGGCCACCTTTCCTCCCCAAGCAGATCATGTCTTGGTAGACTTATTCTCATCTGCGGTGGACAGGGGACCCTGTGGGCAGAGCCCCCCCTCCCAAGAGCCATCGTTAATGTTTCCATTGCAAACTAAGCCAGCAACTGGTACCCACACAAATGAAATAACAGAGGCACGGCATGTATTTGTTTGCCCAAGAAAGTTTTAGAAGACAAAAGAGGGTAAGGAGAAATGAACAAGTTATAGCTGACTGTGGGTGAACACGGACAGACCCCAAAATCACCGAATCCTTCTTTTCATAGAGACAGGATATATGTTGCCATGTTTTTATGCCATTCTTCCTAAAACTTGAGCAAAACCATGGAACCTGAAGAGGCACGAAGGGGCATTTTGAAATGCCATCTTTCCATTTTAATTGGGCACTCACCAAGACAGAGGTGGAAAGGAGGCATGGCAATTCACATGTATTAATACTCAGTATTCTTTCTTCCCTAAAACCCAAACATTCAGCTGAATGCCTTAGGACACATATCTGCTATAAATTCATTTTTTTATCTAATTTGTCTGAGATCTAAGCTTCCTGTGGAGGTCTGAGATCAAAAGATCTGATTCCTTCTGATGTCGGCGCTGACATATAATCTGTGCTGACTTAGTTCTGTCTATAACCTCGCAGCGGGAGGCGGCTGGCCTCCCTGGGCACCTTTACTCAGCGAGCTTTCATTTTGGCTGGGGAGTCTGTCAGGTATGTGGCTGATTGGAGCTACCATGTAAATAATTCATGGGAGATTTTTTTAAATGTTTTTGGCACCTGCAAAGGAAAGCTACACTGTGTTAATCTTTTATGAATAGATGTAGATTTGAAAAAGCAGAGTTCCAATGATGAGCTCTCAAAAACAGGACAACAATATCTTCAACAGAGTGAAAATAAGTGGCTTTCAATGTTTGATTCCCCTTGTATTAAATGGTATTGGTTTTACCAAGGAATAAAAATTTGAAACTATTTTTCCTTTTTTAAGTTTGTTTCCATGTGATAATTTATTATTCTTGATCTTTAGTTATTTGCTGATCTTGATGAACTATGTCTTTTGTTGCTGGTGGGGGCAGTGATTATGGAACTCACACCAAGTTCAGTACTTGGCATGGAATCGGGCATAATAGGGAGACAAAGTTGATGGCACAAAGTTGATTCCCTGAAGGAACTCAACATCCGAAGAGGAAGACAAGACTGTCATACCAGGAAAGTTGACCAATAATAGAAGCAGTTGCACAAGTCAAATGAAAACTCTAGTCAACAAGAATTGAGGCATAAATCAATGTAGTTTGAGCTGTCAGGGAACAGTTCTAGGAACAGTTGAGATCCCCCAGAAAAACTAGCATAACACGGAGGTTTGCATTGATCTAAGCAAGAGAGTAATCCCATAGTTAGGTAGCCATAGCGGATACATGCTAGGCAAAGGACTGTGGAAAAGGAGAGAGAAGATATGAGTCACATGTGTTTAGCAGAATATTAACTGATGCCTCATGGAAACAATATAAACATGACACTTGGTCTCATTTTACTGCTTAAAACCAAAGTGTATCACGTATATGTATTTATATTTTTACTATTACCTTCTCCTTTTCTCACCTCAGTTTCATTCATTGTTAGATTAAATTGACTAGGAAATTAGTACACTGCACCCCAATAATATGGTGTGTAGCGTGATATTGACATGTCTACTATCTTCTAATACAAACTGAGACCAGTGTCAGTAAACTGAGTGAAGAGCATGACACACAGACTAGAAAAATGTCATTTACATAGTATATAAAACAGTGGTTGATGAATTTGGTGATGAGATGTGAGAAAAGCAAGGATGAGAAATGTCAGTGTTGGTATTGCCACCTACCCTTTGGGGGGTTAGGGTAGTTCTCAACTTTTTTTTTTCCACCACGAAGTACATAAAAGATAATATTCTCATTCCTGCCATACTCCCATGCATGGACCCAACCAGTCTTCTTAATTCCCCATTGCTACCTTTAACTTTACACAACATTATGTAGTGCTTAGAATGTAGACACTGGAGCCAAAAATTCTTCAATTCTGTAAAGTAGGTAATATCTGCCACTACTTTGTACATGGTCTTGGGAAATTAATCTCTCTGTACCCCAATGGACTTCCTTCTAAAAGAGAGATAATAATAATACTTTAGAGGGTTGTTTAGGGATAAAGGTATATATAATTTAATGCCCAACATGTGGTAATAGCTATAATTGATGTGTGTTACTTTAAATTATTATTAGCCTTTCTGTCTTCAAAGAATATACATTGGAATGTGAAAGTGAACATATTCATTAACATAGATTACTCTTGAATTTCTTTTATTTTGTAATTGAACAAAATTGTTTTAAAAATTAAACTATAATACCTTATTATTTGTAACAAATAAATGGATACATCCCTCAATACTCAGTGTAATATGAAAATTAAAAAACGCATGCGTTAGGAAATCCTCTCTGGAGAGAGTATGTGGGGAATTGAATGAAAGAAGGCAGAGGGTTTTGAAAGATAGGATGAAAAACATATTTCAGAACTAAGGTGTGTCATAAGATAGTGTAATTCTTACAGGTAGGAAATTAGTTAATTATGTGAAAGAATTAAAACATGTGGGTTTAGAGTAGTATGCAACCAGAAACTAAAGTATTATACAGCTAAAAAAATACTTTAAAGAGATGCACTTGGGCATTTGACTGAGAGGAGTTTCACCTTCTAATTACTTGATTGATTCTCCTGGCAACCAGCTCCCATCCTAGGTGGAGTCCAAAAGTCACTTTGTTAACATAACAGAAGGCATCTTTACTGCTTTTATCACTTAGGGCAGGAGTATCAAACTCCCTTTCTCCCGGGCCCATGTGAGCCTGGCAGTTGGCTTCAAAGGGCCAAATCTAATTTTAGAACTGTAGAAATGTAACTACTCCTTAACAGTTAAGTAAGAGCTTGGCACTGCCACCAAGGAGAAACAAGGTGCCTGGCCAGATAACACAAGGTGGAGGGCAGGATTTGGCCCGTGGGCCTTGTGTTTGCTACCAGTGACTTAGGGAATTCCAAGGGTTTTAAGAGCTCTGTGCTGGAAAGAGATTTCTTATTATGAAGCATAGTATCACACAATACTATGAGGGTTAAATGAGTGAATAAATGTAAAGCATTGCGAACAGTGCCGGGCAGGGTTAAGTGCTATCCGAGCACTAGGGATCTGTAATTTGATGGTTATTATTTATGCAGTTATTACTATAACACAGGCTCTGGGCAGTGCTTTGCACAGTTCATCTTGTTTAACTTGCAAACAATCCTATGAGATAGGTGCTATCATTATTACTGTTTTACAGATGAGGAAACTGAAGCACAGGGGGTAAGTACACTTTGCACATGTATTTAGTCAGTAAGGCGTCAAGCAGGACATTGGACAACATTCTTTTCATTCTAAGACTGTATTCTTAGCTAGTATGTAATCTAGCTTCTAGGGACCATAAACGACTGTTTCGGTGTTTGACTCAATTGAACCAGTAAAATTCTATATAATTCTAGTTCACTATCATTTATTATTCAAGTAATGTGATATGTTAGTCATTGACATATGGCATGACAGTGGTTTTTAAAAGCTCAAAAATGGTATTGTTGCTTCTTTTATATATCCTTCAGAGAATTAGGACAGATAAGGACAAATACACCCAGGTCATCTGTTCATCACAGTCAATGTCAATGTTGTGTTCTCAGTTGAATATTAATTCTGTTGAATAGGAAAATAACATGCAAGTGAAACATCACAGGCAGAAAACAGTAATTAAAACAGGACCGTTCAAATGAAATACATGTTAGTAAATTGTTAAGTAGCACCTGACAGTATTAGACAACTGAAGCCCGGAGAGGCTGATGAATAAGATGAAAGTCACGAAGCCAGTTAATAGGCGGAGGGGAGCTTGAATCCTTACTTTTTGACTCTAGGCCAGTGCTCCTTTGTAGTATTACATAGTCACCATAGTCACATATGTACACACTCATAATAGATACATGCTTACTTATATACTTGTGCTATGTCTACCCATGTTTATATTCATGTTTTCATAAGATGAAAGATATTAAAATTCTTAATTTAGCATAAAAGCCAAAGTATTAGATAAGACTGTTTCAGAGTTCACATTTCTCAGTACAAGTATTAGTTAACCCATTTGGTAAGGCCAGAATGTGGTCTAGTTTCATATTTATGTTGTACTTATAATAAAAAATCCTTGTTGACTAATCAACATCATAAAAATGTTTCTCTGAGAAGAACTGATTATCAAACTTTGATTAGATCATTATCATTCATTCTAAATTGGGCTTGGGACACAATGATTCTTTTTAGAAAAAAATATATTTTTAAAAATAAATGAAAATATATTTTCAAAAAATCAATAAGCTGATAAAACTCAACAGCCTTCAATTATTTGGCATGTCTTTTCAGGAACACAAAATATGTAACATGTGTAATCAACTGATGGAGTACTAAATTTATTTCTCCCCCTCCTTCTTTTTTCCACAGATATGAAGATGAAGATCATACTGGGCAAGCTGAACCAACTCCCCCACCAGTCAGTAAATGGAGTGTCCAGAAGGAAGGTTAGCCGCCGTGCTGTCCGAGAGGAGGGTGGCAGCCGAGAGGAGGCTGCTGTGTCTGCTCCCAGTGTCACCGGCATCACATCCCATGGGCACACCTGTGCTGCAGGCTGTCCTGCTCAGCAAATGTATATGCAGGAGACTGGAAACTGGAAGGAGACCCAAGAACAGTTGCTGAGATACCAGTTGGCAGGCCAAGATCAGCTGCTGCTGCTCTGTCCAGACCTCAGACAAGCAAAGCAGCAACTGCAGGAACAGAGTCAGCTGGGCAAGGACAGTGGCAGCGCAGGGCTTTCCCAAGGGAAGAAGGTGCCCTGTGGTGCCAACAAGGCCTTCTGCCTTCGTTCAGTACATCCAGAAGCTATTCACGAACAGCTGTGATTGAGGAGTGGTGTGGGCACTTGGGCCAAAAGTCAGAATGTTCAACATATTTCTGGAAAATGAGCAGGGGAGATGAGGTCTGACCTGTTTGGACACTAAGATGGGAGAACATAGACTCTGAAATCTTTTTTTTTTTCAACTTTAACATGGAAGACAGTCATAGAAATGCTTGTAGATTGGAACAATGTCAGATATGTCTTTTGTATTTGTCATGAAACCTAGTCTAATGCCAGTCAAATTATAGATTGCCAAATATTTGGGTGTTTTTAAAACTTGTTTTAAACTTAAGCCTGATTTCACCATCTTAATAATGGTATACCACTTATTTAGAGTAGTAGGAATTGTTATTAATCTTCCTTTAGGATGACTACCCCCAGTGCTGTGGGCTTCTCTTATTATGGGATCATGAAAAGGTCTTGTCTGCTATAATTATTTCTGTAGTGTTACAGCAAACCACTTTTTTACCTTATAGGAACATATTAATAATAAGAGATCTGTCAAAATTTACCTTTCAATTCAAGACAACTCCCTGGTTTTTTACATGCTCATTTTATTTTATGTCTTAAATAGAATCCTTGTTGGGAGCCCACAGTAGAGCAGACATATCAAATTTGCCCCTCCTGAGTATTGATACATGAAAATTGAAATTCTCATGGGATTTGCTGAAATTTTAGTTAAGGACAAAGATATAAAAATAGCAAGTTTGGGAAAGAAATTGTCTATAGATCAAAACTATTTCTCAATAGTTCTTTGTGTTAGTAACTGAGTTAAATTTATAAATGGAATAAAAAAAACCCTGTATTGGAAAACCAGAAATAACCAAGTGGCCAAGTGGTTTATCAGCTAATTCATTTGTCAGAGAAATGGTGTTTGGAGAAGGTGTTTCATAGATCTGCTGGCTGGATGAGGTAGGGAAGTGATTATATCATGTGCAGCTCTTTCAGGCTGTACTAGAGGCTCTAATGTGGACCAGAGTAGAGGGTCAACTGGTGTTAAGCTGGGTAAGGATGTTAATGGCAATGTCATCTAGTTCATACATTTGCACAGGGTCCATCAGTGTTGAGACTAAAGGATACTTTAAGGAACCTGACTGTGTCCTTGGCTCTGAATCTAGAAGGCATCATGCTCCAAAGGAGTAAAGCAAAGACAGCAGAGGAGAATTCCCAGAAAGAACTTCCTCTCACCTTTACCCTAGATATAAACCAAGACTTTCCAATCTCTGAAAGGTTAAGGGGTTGTTCTAGGCATGAGTTAGAACTGAGAAAGGAGACACACTCTCCTATTGTATTTTTAAATAATGATTCCCTGGAATTAGCCCCATAGAAGATACTGGTAAAAAGTCATCAGCAGCAGGACATCAATGGGCAAGCACGTCTCAACTTACCAGGAGCTGGCACGAGCTTTCTCAGCCTCTTTGTACATGCTTTTGGTGTCTTGTGGACATCTCATACCTTCAAGCTGTCCCCAAAAGAGGTAGGCAGTCTTCTCTGTAACATAGAGTTGAACACTGAGGGAGATTCCATTAAATGTATTTCAATACATCTTAATCCAGACTATCTGTGTTCAAGGAGGACATTGATGGGCAATCTGTCCAGCAGACATTTACTCCTGAGGTACAGAATGGCTGCCTGAAGTGTAAATCCCTTTGTAGATGTACTTTGCTTGGCAATAATAGTTTTTAAAAACTTAACAGAGAAAGTAACTTGAATTGCTTAAGCACTTATGTCTTCTCTAGTTTAATTAGTCCCTGCTATAACCTGTTATTTATCTCATTTTTGTAGTCTCCTAGTCTGTGAAGTAATTTGATTTGCAGTCTTTGCTATAGTGTATGTATTAGATCCTTGAAGAGCTGTAATCTTTTTGTAGAAAAACATTTTGGAAGTTAAGCCTTTTGAGGATTATACAATGGTAGCAGTCTCAGCACACTACCTGCTGAGACTTTGTCTACATGTTCTCTCTTTCATTTTGGTGAAAGAGTATATATATATATATATATATTCAGCTGCCTACTGAGAGCTTTCCACTAGGTTATCCCATAGCCACTATGACTTAACATGGCCTTCAAGCCTTCTCTTCCTCATGTTTTCCCTAACATAATACACCACATCCCTGCACTTAGACCAGAAATATAGAAATAAATCATGACTCCATATTCTATCTTACTCTTCCCAAAGGGTCAGCTATAAACCCTGTTATTTCTGCTCCTTCTTTACCTTTCTACCAGGTTTTATTGTTTTCTTATCCATCTCCATGTGCCGTAAGACTGATTTTTCTGGAAGGCAACTTTGATTCTATCCCTCTGTTTAGGAACAACTATAATTAACCTATTAATTTTAACCCCAGCAAAGCCTGGGATCCCTGTGGTTAGAATTGGTTCTTTGGGCCTGAACAGCAGCCAGAAACATCTAGAGAAACTGCAGGGCTTTAGCATGTGGCATGGAATTTCAGAGTCTGGCCAGAATTGTCCAGACCATAGTTAAGCCTGTCCTCTTTTTCCTTCTCAACAAATGGGAGAATTGGGTAAGTACTGGAAGCAAGTAGAGCAGCTCTTGGTTCACTTGTGTCTAGAGATGAGCTAATTAGACAAAGCACCACTGTAAGATGATCCTAAACTTATTAAGACCATTAATATGAGTAACCCAGGAAGTGTTTTACAGCAGTAACAACTCTTTATTTAAATAAATAATTTAAAAAATATCACGTTCTTTTGTTATTTTAAAGAATCTCTTTCTGCCTCCTATTTTTCATTTACTATGTATGGTGAACTCCTTTTCCCCAAGATTCTGAACACATTAAAATTCTAGGAGTTAAAAAATGTAAATGTTTATGGCTGATAAAATTGAGAGAAGAATGGACTAGGGTTGTTTTCACCATCTCTTGGGTTTAAGGGATTGAGTTCAGAGAAAGTACCAGAATTTGACAGAACATGCCTCTCTCAGAGTAAGAGATGGAGTCGATCTAACTGGAGTCGTGTACTGAAGCAGACTTGCCCGTATTATTGCCCAAGGAGGCTACGGAGCACCAAGAGGCCTTTAGTGCCCTCAGGGTACAGTCCTTTCAATGATTATTTAGTTGAATGACTTCTGTCCTACAGTCTAACTTCAAATGTATTAAATTACTATATATTGATATATATACAAACTTTATGCAAAAATAAGTGTGGAGAAATTGAATGTAAATCACATGCAAATATTATTCAAATAAGCTTCTATAAAATTATATATGTCAATAACAGTAAAGGATTTTAATTAATTCTGTCACTTAAATTTCATGCATTTATTCCATATTTTGTTTCCAGGATTTATAATGTATCAGTGTCAACTTTGGAAGAGCTATAAGCAGAAGGAATTATTCTATTGAGTGTAGAACAATTGATTTCAACCTATACCACAGCACTGTGACAAATTACAGATTGAATTCATGAGATAATAACAGTTCCAGAATATGATTTGTTAAAAAAAAGATAGAACATTTTTACAAAGTTAAATGAGGTTTAAGTGATAGAATAAACAGATTTGACTGTTTATAAATATTCTTCTAGCAATTGTTATTTTTACACCTCAAAGAAGACTGGGATTTATTTGCTTGGAACAATTAAAGAAAGAAGTAGATTCTGCCCATTAACCTGGTCTGTCTTGAGCCAGAAGATTCATTTAATGCATTTGTAGGACTCTCTACAATTTACTGAGATTTGAAAGATTAATTCTTTGATTCTATATAAGCCTCTTCAGATGCCTCCTCATTGTTATACCCCCATTCCAACAAAATTGTTTGGAAGACTTTTGTACATGCATTTCATTACTCCCTCGGTTTTCATTCAGTCTAACATGCAGTTCACTGTGCCTTCTAACCCTTCCACAGAACAGAGACCGCTCTTACAGCAATCACCAGTGACTGCCATGTTTCCAATTCTAAAGACCAATTCTCTAGCCTCATCTTACATGACATCTTGGGAGCATCGAGATCAGACTTTCTTTTCCTCTGTTTGGACCACTTTTTTCTCTAGGCTTTTGTGATGACACCTCTCCTTGATTTCCTTTTAAGTATCTGTATACCTTCTCAATACACAGTAAAGAAGCAGATGTAGATTCTCACCCCAAATCTTGTGAGACCCTATGAAGAAAATCCAGTTAAGTCTTTCCAGTGTTTTGACCTAGAGAACTGAAAGCTTATAAATTGGTGGTGTTTTTTGGTCATTGTTGTTATTATTTGCCAATTTATTGAAGTGTAACTTACATGTAAAAAGCTGTACATATTTCACAAATAAGTATACACTCATGAAACTATCACTGCCATGGAGACCAGACACATATCCATCACCTCTAAAAGTTTCCTGCCACCTCCTTCTCCTTATTATTATTATTAGTAATAAGAAAACCTAACTAACATAATACTGACACTCTTAGAAAATTTTAAAGTATACAATATAATATTGTTAGCTGTAGGCACTATGCTATATAGTACATCTTTAGAACTTAATTATCTTGCATAACTGAAACCTTATACCCTTTGGCCATCATCTTCCCATTTTTACCTCCCCCTGGTCTCTGGCAATCACCATTCTACCTCCTGTTTCTATGATTACAACTATTTTAGCTTCCACATAAAAGTAAGACTATACATAATTTGTCTTTCTATGTTCGGCTTATTTCACTTAAATAATGTTATCCAGGTCCATCTTTGTTGTTGAAAACAGCAGGATTAACTGCTTTGTTTTAAAGATTAAGAAACATTCCACTATGGGCATTGTTTTGTGTCACTGAGCTTCTGATATTTTGTTATCAGCAATAGAAAACCAACACAGACACTATGGTTTCACTGAAAAAAAAAATGTGGGGGAGTTCAGTCATTTTCTTTTGTCTTTGCTCCTATCTTTTGATGGCTTCTGGTCTCTTTTTCAGCTGACATGAATCACTTTTGGTTCCCTAGAAGCTGAAACTCCTCATTCAATCCATAGATTCCCCTTGTACAGTACAACTGCCCCCTGTGGGTAGCTGGATCACATCAGTTCCCAGGTGCCTTCCCAGGTTTCCCACCTGCACACCAGGTCCTTCCAGTGTAGAGGCAGTCAGGACTCAGGCCGTCCAGCCACAGTGGGTTTGTTTCCAGCATTGGAACTGCAAAGTGAAAACAAGCCAGATTGCTCTTTTTTATTCTCTCTCTTCTGTCTTTTCATATCTTAGTCTGTTTCCCCAACTAGATTCTGACAAAAGTTATTTGCATCATTCCCATCAGTTCCATGAGTGACAGGAGACTGGTGTCAAGTGAGAAAATGAAATGTAAATTTTATTAAACACCCCCTCTCATCTCTGCGTATCAATCCAGATTCCAGCCGAACATAGCAAATCAAATCCTGTCTATGCCAGGCCTCGGGGCACACGGAAAATCATTTCTCCTTAATACCATTCCCTTCTAGTAAAATATTTTTCTGTTTGGTAAATGAAAAATTTAAATGCAAGCCCCATTTTAATCCCAGTAAAAAGTATATCTTCAAAATGAACATTTGAAGGAGGGAGCAGAAAAGAGAAGGAAGATTTGGGGGCCAAGGGAAGGAGAAGGGGGTGGTGAAAACAGAATTGTGTTTAGCTGTGTCATGCCTGGTGGCTGTGCAGGGATGCATATCCACAGAATAAATGGAGACATTCTTTGAAAGCTTGGACCATCAGGACATTTATCTACATGCTGTCCTGTCTCAGAGATAATGAAGATCTTAAATCTGATACATTGCCTTGCAATAGCATTAGAAATATAGATGCTTCATTCTGGGTGTGAATATATGGACAGTTACTGGCTTATATGTGGTTTTGATGAGTGGTGTC